TATTTTGAAGAGCGACAGAAACGTTTCGGAAACAGAGAAACTACCTTGCCAGGGCTTAAAGTACTGACAAGTAAAGTAAAAGTAAAGTTAAGTGAAGTAAAAAGCCAAGGCAAACTCAAACTGTGCATCTTTTTTTGCTTTCTTTCAACAATGGCTTCCTTCTCGACCAGTGTAAACAACTAAATGTAAATAAGCACAAGCTCTCCGTTTGTGATCTCCTCCCAGGGAACCAGGTGAGCAGCAGACTGATGAGCATGCGCAGTGCCAACGGGCTCCTGATGCTACCTCCAAAAACAGAGCAATACGTGGAGCTGCACAAGGGCGAGGTGGTCGACGTCATGGTCATCGGACGGCTATGATGTCATCAGAGGGGGACGCCGGACGACGTCACATATAGCGAGCGTTGGAATGGGTGGTTCACGGTGCATGTCCACATATCATTGACTATTCTGTAATATGCAACGGCACAGCTAGTTTTTATTGATTTGGATAACGTTGAGGTATAGTCAACATCTTGATCACAACCTAGATACATATTTAAAAAAATTAATAATTTAAAAAGATTATAGTATTTCAAACAAAGAAAATATAACTTTTAATGAAAAAAAAATCTAATTATAAAGAGATTTATTCTGTAATATATTATTATGATTATTATTCTTATTATTATCATTATTCTTCTTATCATTATTATATTAAGGCAACTTTGTTCCTTTCATTGCAATTGCTTTGTGTGTTCAATGCTAGACCTTATCTATAGCAGTAGCATTTTAATAGACCGCTGTAGGTGCCTGCCAGGACAAAAAAATAAAATTATTATTTTCTCATCTTTAGTGGAAAAAAAAATCAGTTTTTTGAAAGTGAAGAAAACATGGAAAGCTCCAGATTTCCTACGGTGCTCAGTTTAGAGGAAAGAGGCTGCATATCAAGGCCACCTCCTCCTCTGAGGGCCCATCAAGGTGACACTTCTGTTTTTTCCCTCATTAGTATGCATCATAATGGCTTCACAAAGAGCTTTGCTTGTTGTTTATCTTGTGAGTCTTGTTTATGTGCGCAGTGCCAAATGCCTGGACAGGAAGGAGGCGATATCGGGAGGGTGAGGTGTGTGTGTGTGTGGGGTGGGTAGGAGGGTGGAGGGTGGGTTGGGGGTATTAGGGGCACACCCACGCCAGCCAGGCCCAGACCCTGAAGCTTCCTTATATTCACTTAAACTCCAAACCCCCACCAAGGTGACAAGCTGAACCGGGGAGAAATTATCATTTTTGGTTTTGTTTTTCTTTTTCTTTTTGATCAACTATTTAAGAAAAAAAGATTAAAGAAAAGAAACAGCTTCTTTAAGTGCTGACAGCCTTTTTAACCAACTTCACAAGAAATGTACAGAAAAAAGAAAAATAACCATATTGTACAGATATATGTGACCAGCACTCCTAAGGAAATTATTAAGCAATGAGGAGACATTGATCAACGCTGTACAATAACATTTTCTGTAATGATATGAAACTGATGAAAGAGACTAAGATAATAAAAATCCTTGATCATTATGTAAAAAAGGGTTCTTGTTGGCTTTCGTTTTTTAATAAAATATATCTATGGAAAATGTGGGAGGTTTTTGTCATTGGTGCCGAATGTTTTGCAGCTGATGCGCTTTGGGTTATCCAGCAGGAAGAGTCTAACAAAGATGCAATTGATCTTTAATGAAACTGGTAAAAAGGTATACATCTGAGAAAGCATATGTGACTGCAATAAGTGGTTGATTTCGAAGCAATCCTTCATGTTGCTCTATCAAAGAAAGAATGACGGTGCCAGGAGTACTTTCAATGGGAAATTAAAACCAAAGATAACACATAGTTAATGACATGAACAGCTTGGTCAATGATTCCAAGAAAGAGGTTAAAAACCACTGGCTAAGAGTATTTTCCATAGGATAGAAAAGCAAACAGAACACAGCGATAATGGCATCAATAACTTGATCAATGACTCTATTCTCGTACACAGTTGTGCACCAAAGCATTGAGTCTTGGCTACTTTATATAAAAAAGAAATGCCAAGAAAATGTAGTATGAATAAATACATCTATAACCACAACCAGGAAAGCTGCTACTGGACTAAAAGTACTTTCTTTTCTTTTTTTTTGAAAGAAAAACAAAGAACATGACGTGACTCCATCCCAGAAAGAAACGCAGCTAAACACAGAAGCACCTAGTTAAGAGAACATCCAGGAAAGTTAACCATAGTGACACTGGATACAGAGTACCTTCTATGTGGAAGCTTGACCAATGATTCCTTTCAAGAAAGTGACAGTTTAGAAACCCTAAGCCCAAACTACGTTCCGTGGTTGGAGAAGAGAAAAGAACATAGATTTAACGGGAGACATCGTTGTTCATTCATTGGCTAAAGCCCATATTCCTGCAGGAACCTTTTTGCTTCCATGTTGCAGAATTCAGCATGAAACCGAACAGGTCCCCAAGGGACATAAGCGAAGGGCAGGGCACACAAATGCATCAGAAGGCACATCAAACCTGTGGAGATCCTAACTGGAGCCATCCTGAATTTCAAGAAAACACTCAACTCAGTCCACAAATAGAGAAATGAAATACTGAGTGGCTGCAGTATCTGAGAAATAAAGATTGTTACCTTCTAAGCATAATATCCCAGTGCATTTTAACTAGTCTGAAGACAGCAATGCGCAGGGTGGTTTGAGAGAGGAGTGTTAATATCTGTTTTTGAACTGCCAGAAGACGTCAAAGCGCCAGGAAAACATCCTTGTAGTGAGAACATACAACCTCTTAGCTTGAAGTATCACCCAATACTTAAACCAGATGTAAACCTTTTTACGTTAAGATAAGAATCCTCTTTGGCTAAACTCTTAAGCTGAGATAATACTAGAGTGTTGATCCTGGTGTGAGCAAGTTGTGGCTGTGTGAAGGAATGTGTGTGAAAGGGACATTTTCCATCACTGCTCCCCGAGTCGGGATGGTGTTTTATGTGCCTGCCATTAAAGTGGTTGTTGTTTTGAAGGCTGCCTTATCAGAATTAAACCCTGATGCCATCTGTTACTTTGGCAGGCATGTAACATGCATATTAATAAGGAAGGCATACAAATGAGGGCCAGGATTAGTTTCAAGGCTTTTTAAAGTCGGCAAAAAGTGAAGGTTCACACACAGTTTTCAGTCTGATTCAGACTCCACCCATAACATGAGGTCAGCTCTAGACTGTAAGCAGTAATAGTTGTTGAAGTAAGAACATAGTCATCAGATGGCCCACAAACAGTCATTTGGAGCTTCACTGTCCCAATTATGTGTTCTTAGAACTGAATGGCTTACTTTTTAAGACAAGTTAATGGTACTGGCAGGATCAGACGGGTTACCACCTGTACGTGGAAAGGGTCTGTCAAAGGTAATGAACATGCAGCAAGTCCGTGTGTCTCGTATCAGCTTCTTGAGAAACATTGTACTGCCGACTTTGCAGAAGAGGATTTAATTGGAAGCCAGTAAGAGCAAACCTATATTGACCATAAGGAATGGAACTGTGGAAATTAATACTAGGGACCATCTTAGACCTTCCAACAGCAAACCACCCACAAAAGTAGTTCATAATTGTTTAGTAAAAAGAAAATTATGCATCTTTTTAAGTCAATAGTTGGTGGACTGTTCCTTTTAATTCTATAAATTTCTATTTATAATGCCATTTTGTAAAAAAATGTCTATTAAAGGAAGTCTAGCCAATTGTATTGAGCTTTCTATGTAATTAAATTCTCACTGTAGATAAGTTTGTCCGTTCAGTGTTGTTTATGGTTGGTGTCTTGCTGGAAGGTGAACCTCTCCTCCAATCTGAAGTCTTCGACAGCTGTTCTCTCAGAACTGTTCTGTATTTTCTGGATACATTCTCCCATCTACTCAGACCAAACTCTTTGCTCCTGGTAGGGTCTCCACAGTTTGCTATAGTTTTGATTACTGCTGTGCAGTCTTGGCTTTCATCTACAGGTAATGTTAGCCAGAACATTTGATTTTGGTCTCAGATAATGACAGCACCTTTTCCCATGTGTTTTGATGCGTTTTCCACATGCCTGATGCCAACCTTAAGAGGTTCTGTGAATAATTTTGCAAGTAATTTTCTTAAACATTGACTAAATTACATTTTTGTCTTTTTTTTTTTTTGCTGGATAGTAGATAATTGAGCTGCACTGAAATCAATAGCTATAAACCACATGAACCTTTCTTTTCAGAAAAGAAAGTATTTAAGAATCAAAAACTGGGAAGAATGAGTCTCGCAAGGAAAAGAGCTTGAAAGCAGAGCTGTCAGAAAAGATTATCCTAACAACAAAATGCAACTTAGGGAAAAGGCAGCTCTGGTCTTCTTCCATTTTTTTTTTTCACAAGAAGTGGCCTAAGATTAGACTATTTCACCTCACCTCTTCCTTGCAAGATTAAATGACGGCACATCCCATTAGGTGGAGATTGTTAATAATGTCATATGATGATGAATAAAAATGGGGTAAATGCAAGAGGATCAATAAGATGATGACAGTCAGAAATGAAGAGTAATACTTTTACACTACCAAGTGAACCAAGTCTTTATGTATTAAAGGAAACCATGTGTGTCTAATATTCTTGAATATACTGAGCAATTGAGATAAAAAGATAAATGAAGTGATGTGACTAGTTAAAACAGGCCTGAGGAAATTAATCTAACTGGTGAAATATTTCCTCAGTGAATATACATGCATATATTCACTTTTAATAAAAACTGTGTGCCGTGCCATGTATTATATTATATATTATATATTCAGGAGTGTTTGCTTTATCTAAGCATTTGCAATATAACTACCATATTTTTTATTTTTGTTTATGTTTAATTTTCTTCTCATATTTTTCAAAAGCGAAATTTTATGGTATGACGTATTTGTCACTTAAATTGTAATATCAATTCATTTTTTTTAACAAAGTTGGGTTATTACGTGGTTGACCTGGAGGAGGCGCTGTGGTGCTATAGTTGTTGCCAAGGAAACGACTCACAACAACCGGCGCAGCTCCACCAACGGCAGCAGCAGTCACAAATGTCCTGTTTGTACTCGTAGCTGTCGGACGCGTCTCGTTCAGACTGAGTAGGAAGTTGAGGAAGTTTTTCAGTTTATCTCTGCATGAATAAAGCTGGACAATTAAACAACGACTTTGTCTTACTGCAAGCTCAAGAAGTTCGCTGATATTCAGGAGGTGAGTAACCCAATCTTAAAACATCTTTACGGGACAACTGCCGTCCTGTCGTGCAGAGTTAGCGGGACAATGCTAGGTCTCCTCCGCTATGCTAGGTCCCACGTTGGCGCAGAAAAGTAAAAATAAATCTAAAGGCTTTTTATATGCTGCCCAAAACATAAGTTTACCTCAGGTGGTATTTTATAACAATTACTCCAACAAGCAACTAGTTGTTAAATCACAGAACAATTTCAGAAGAAGCAATATTACAAGAACAGAAAGTTTGTCACAAGAACTGGAAGGGTATAAAAGAGTATAAAAAACTGAAAATTATTGTGATGTCAAAGTTTAGTTTCTTCTCTCATAGTGATGATTGTTTAAACAGCCTACTTTTTAATATAATTAATAATATTATAGGTGATGTCAGTTATCTTTTTATAACTATTATTTTCTCCATCGATTTTAATTTCTATCCTCTGCTGGTATGTCATTCGGTTTCTTATTTACTTTATTTATGTTTTACTATGAGATTAACATTATTTACTAAATCAATTAAAACGTGTAACAGTGTTTTACAGAGATTGAAAGCAGACAGAAAGAAAAACTGGAGATGATTAAACAAAAAAAAAGACATTAACATAAAACAGATGAGTATACAGTTCTGTATTTTAGGAGGAAAACACTGGAAATTAGTATTCTAAAAAAATTATAAAAAGAGTAAGGGTAACAATTCCAAAAATAATCTAAAGTAATCACAAATATGATCAAATTAAGTACCTATAAATAGCTAAATAGCTTGTTTTGACATTTTTCCTGTTCTTGTGCATGTAAATAAGGTGAATATAAACTGAATTAATTTAGGAATTTAAATGTTTGTCATTTGATTCTGGTCTCAGATAATGAGAGCACCTTTTCCAATGTGTTTTGCCGTGTTTCCCACATGCCTGATGCCAAAGGCATGTGGGAAACGTGCCTTGATATGATATTTTAGTCTCATACAAGATTGAAATATGTAGTCTTGCACGAGGTCATGCAAACAGATTTTATTTACATTTTTATTTACATTTAAATTCTGCACAGGACTCATTGTTTTTGGCCCAAATTTTTCTTCGCAGTGTGTGTTTATGTCGGTGTCACATGTGCTACTCTTCTACCTTGGTGGATCTCTCTCTCTCTCTCTCTCTCTCCCCCTTTACATCATCCCTCCCAGGCCTTCTGTGGCCACCGAAATCCCAAGCTTAATTAAGCCCACGAGAACAGATGGCCTCCTGGCAGTCTCTGCTGTTTGTCAGCAGTACCTGGCCACGCTAAATACTGCTAAATGCCTCCGTAGGGGAGGGGTTTAGTAGACGCTGTGACAGACGTACCCGACGTTATTAGCTCTAAAGACGTGGTGTAAAATAAGGCCATTTAATTTTGGGGAATGTCAGTAATTTTGGCACACGAGCTAACCAATCACAAGATAATTCTGTTTTCTTCTTCTTTGCACAAATTGACCTAACGGACGCCTCACATCAAAGTGCCTTAGTCAGACTGTCAAATCCAGATTTGTGTGTAGTATCCCTCAAAATAGGCCCTAATCTATAAAAGCCACAACAGTGGTCAGCCAAGTAGTGATAACTACAATGTGGTGGAAAGTTGGGAACAAGCATGGCAAAACAAATGGCTATATAAGGCTACATAGGAGAGAGTTAAATGTGATGGAGGCCAGAAAGTACTGTCTGTTCTCACCATGATTACTGGACAAATAAGAGTAAACAGGAATAATACTTGATCTTAATTAGTTGTGGTACTTTATTCAAATTTTTGATCAAGTTAATTGGAGGGTCTGTAATTTAACCCCTACAGCACCAAAAGGAGCATCATTTTTGTTTATTGCTGTTGTGGACGTTGCTTGTGTGCCACAGGCGTACTATGAACACGTGAATGCAAAGATTTGGCTCGAGACTTTTGCAGGTATATAAAAATGTGATTAATTGCATTTAAAAACAATTACGTGTTAAAATTTAGTCAAAATTAACACATGCGCTTTTTAGGACATCAGCAGCATTCTAGAAAACATTGAATCCTCTTCAAACACAGTCGATATCTGCCCAACCATTCCTGTTTCTAAAAGTTTTCAATATCATGCTTAAGGTGGAGAGAGGATGTTGCAGCAGCCTTTTACAAATAAACCTTAGTTACTTACTTAGTAACGCATTCCTGAAGTTTCAGTCCGAGTGTGTTGTGTAAACTGTGTTCAAGAATAAATCTTTTTTTGTGTTTGTATCCCAGGAACAGAACAAGGGACAATATCCCACAATGGAGGTCTTGTGACTCTTAAGTTCAGCAGTAGTTCCCCATAAAGCTCCAGCAGACCTCAGGAAAGGCTGGGGTGGTTTGAACTGTACCCTGGTGCAACAGGGATGATTGCATCCCATACGAATGGTTATGTGCAAGAGGCCTCCGCTCCGGCCGTGAGCCACAGGGAGCGGGCTGTGGACTGTCCAGGGCAGGAAGGCAGCCTCAACAAATCCCCACACTGCAGCTCCCACATGGAGAGGATCCAGCATTACCAGGAGGAGCTGAGGAAGCGGCGGGAGGAGGAGGGCAAGGGGAGGCATGACATCGATCCCAACGCTTCGCTGAGGCTCAAGAAGCTGTCACAGAACCCAAAGATCGGCATTGACAATCCCACCTTCGAAGGGAAGGAAAAGGCTACCAATAAAGTGACCTGCCTAGATCCTGTGGTGGGTGAGTACCGACCCCCCCCCACTGCTCTGTTGAGATGTTTTCAAGAGGGTTGTAGAGGTTAAATGGAGGAAGGAAGGAAGGAAGGGTTGAAAGGAAAAGAGTCATGCAGGTCAGGGAAGAATAGAGGCTTTACAAAAACATCGGTGAAAACAAAAGGAGTCAAAAACAATAGCCAGTGAAAAGGCAGAGCAGAGGCGGGGTGTGTGTTTTATTGGCTATCTGAGAGTCCCACTCTTTTTTTTAAACTACATTGTTCTAGGACAATCAAGGATGGAGGAGTCATATATTTAGGAATATATGACTCCTCATATAGGCTGAGCCACTCCAATGCTTTTTTTTCATGAATGTCTCTTTAATAAGGCGATAATTTGATGAGAAGCAGCTTAGATTTCCACTGAATAATCAAGTCATTTAACAGCTAAACTTGTGTTTGTTTGTTTTTCAATTTAGTTAATTAAAAAAAAAGTTTTGACAGAATCTGGTGTAAATTCTAAAATTTATTCTAAAAACTTACTGGAAGAACATTCAACATATATTCAACTGTGTAAAGCAGTGGTGCCCAAAGTCAGTCCTCAACGGCCGGCTTCCTGCATGACGTTACACACGTTTTAGTTCTCTCCATGGTAGTAACAACCTTTTCAGCTTGTCAGTGTTCGTCTTAGGGCTTCTAATGAGCCATCATTTGATCCAGGTGCGTTTAATCAGGGAGAGAACAAAACATACAGCATGTCGGACCTCGAGGACCGACTTTGGGCACCACTGGTGTAAAGTCTTTTGAGCTTCTGAACTGGAAAATACTGACATAATAACCATCTAACTTTCTAGAAAACCATTTTCTTTGGAGATACACAGATCAGTTTTTTTTTCTCCTGTCTTTTACTGATTTACAGGCTTTTCTAACGTGCTACTTAAAATTTTGAAAAATCTCAGTTTTTTGGTTCCAACGACATTAACCCATAAAAGTAACAAGTCTGCTGCAGGTTCTGTCATAGAGATTCTACTTTTAAATCCAGAAGGAACACTGCCTGTGCTTGTTCATGACTTTTTTCTACTTTTTATTAAGCTGGAAAAAGTAAATGCTGATAATTGATGCCCTTGTAGACTGAAAATGGGGGAAGTTTCTGGTTGCCTCAAATTGAATAACAATGACACATGCTCATTTGATTGCTCAAACTGAAATAGGAGAGAACTGGCTAATTTCTATCTTTAGCTGATTGATCAATTCATCGGCAGTTTTAATTTGCTCTGACTCTCAAAGCAAACTCAAATAAACTTGCTTTGCTCCTAAAGTAGCTAATTTTAAAGCTAAAGTTTGTTAATTTTGCACTAAAGCTTTATCAGAAAACATGTGAGAAATGTTAGCTTGGATGTCACTATTATTTTACTTGTAGAAAATATTTGTATAGACACCTCGTTATTTCTGATTTTTTTTTGTGTTATTATTCTGTTTCTCCAAACATCATCTGGTTCCTTTCTCTGTACCTGTTTGTCAGAACTGGAGGAACTATTACAGGTTCTGAAGTGGGTCCAGCACAGCTTGAGTGACTCTCAGAGCCAGCAGGATGTGGAGGCGGTAACGCAACTCCTTGCTAAGGAGGAATTCAGGAATGCCTACACAATCTACAGCGTCCTGTCCCAGCAGACAAGCAGGATCAGTCCCACCTCACCTCTGACAGTGCAAGCACAGGATCTCTGCCAGGAGGTATTCAACTATCCATGTTGCAGATTTATTTAGGCTTTGCAATTCAATGTAACTAGGTTCAAAATATTGAATCACAATATGTTATATTTCTGTCTTGTCAGTTTTGTAGATTCTAAAAAGTTTTGGGTCTCAGCTGATGAAACGATTCTGCATCTGGTCTAGGACCTTTGACTTTGATGCTTTTTTTTGTGAGTGTGTCTACTAGCGAAAAAGTGACGCAAAAGAAGGAAAATAGGAAGAAAATTGGAGCCACATGGCAAGAACGAAGATATGTTTCACTGCGATTGCTGTCAGTTGCCGTTTTCTTTTCGGATTCCATCATTAGCACAGAAAATGACAGCGAAGTGAGCCATGCTGTATGGGAGATGTTCAAAAATAACCACAGCGCAGTTGTTGTTGAAAAACAGAAATCATGATGTGAGTTGTTGGGAGTAACACAGCAGATCCATGTTATGCTCCAGCTACATATGGCTATGTTGACACAGCAGGCCAGTGCCAAACAAATCGGATTTTTTGTTTTGTCCATATGCTTAATCCGACTTTTTATGGCAATCGGAACTTCCAAATTCATATTTTTTTTCAACCCGAAAAAATACTATGTGATGCTAAAACTGATACGTGTCCGATTGTTTTCAAAGAGTCTGCAGTCTGACCGGTGATATCAAGTTTTATTTGACTTTTACGTCATTGATGTGAGACATGTATCATAATTTTGCACCAGGAGAATCCAGATCGGATGTAAACAATTCCATAATTATGGAATTATGAATGACGTCTGTTCCACTGAGCCACATCACGTTACATTTGCGCCACTCCCGATTCTAACTTCACATCCAAACAAACTTCTCTACAGGACGTTGCTGTCGATGCTTTACAAAACGACATTTTCTCTCTATTAGCTTTGTTCGTCTTGTTATGATTTTGTGAGAATCCCGTCGGCTGCCATTGCTGAATAAAATTTAAAAGTGATCCATAGACGGCACTTGTAAGTCTGGAGGAAAAGTGTGGCATCTTGACATGAAAAATATGAATGACCAGTGGTAATTCGGAGTCTTCAACACAGCCAGCTTGGTTGGAGTTTATCTCCAGCTTCCAGCTAGACTTGTAGTAGTTTTGACTAAACAGTCTGTCATCCAGAGCAGTCAGCAGTGGTAGATGACTGTTAGCTCAGTCATCACAGGACTGATTTCAAGACAAACAGCTTACACACACATGCAGAGGCTAAGTATGAACTCACACATCAGACACAGAGTGTTTCAGCTGCAGTGAAACTAAACTAACTGCCTGCGTTCTGTGATACTCACACTGGCCATTTCATAAACTAATCTCCTAGCAGCCCTCTGTGCTGGCTGAGCAGTGGAGCACACCGCAGGACGAGGGCCAGGATCTGCGCAGCCAGAAAAAGAAACTCCAGCAGCTTACAGCAGGCCGGGCTGAGGTGCAGCTCTGCTGCTGGGGGAGGGAGAAATGCGTCACCTTGTTAGTGAGAGCTTTGATTAGTGTAATGGATGAACTAAGCTCTGAACAAGAGATGAAGAGGCCGAAGGGCAGAGTAAGAAAAGACCAATTTGCCTGACAACACAAGAACCGTGTGATCTAAAATAGAAACACGCAGCACAGTGGACAAATAAAAAACATCCCAGATCCACTGGACTCGCATCTAACGCTAAAAATGGTAAATAATATAATTCAGAAGGGATTGTAACATTAATATTTGCAGCATTCATACATGAACACACATGAACAAGAAGAATTGATGCATCTTTTTTTGTTTGTTTTGTTTATTCAAGAGAAAGATCCAGCTATGGTGCAGCTGGAATGTGGAAATTCTACTGTGAACTGTTAGAGTGTAGCCAAGTGAATAATCTGTGACTGCACATGTTCTTACAAAGCAGTGAGACAGACCTGTTTCCCACAAACGTTACCGGCACACGGCTAAAATGGCCAGGAATGGATGTTATTTTTTCTTTTTAATTTTGAATATTTGTCAATTGAATAAAGAATGTTAGGTAGGACCAATCAAATTAAACAAATGATGTGAGATCAATAGTTGGTGAAAAAAATAATAATATTTAGGTGGGATGTATGGAAGACTTCTCCTGCCAAAATTGGCAATAAGTAACAGTTGATAAAATAATTAATGTGTCAGATATTCTATCCAAATAAAATAATTTGCCCAACTTATTTGATTGTATATTGAGGCATTAATTAGTATTTGTTTATCATACTCAACAGTATTAATTTTACATTGCTACATTTATTATCCATTTTATTGCTAAAAAAAAAAATGACGTCAAAAACAGAAGAAGGGGAGAAAATGCAAAGAGGAAATATTAAAGAGAACAAATGAATTTCTGCTTAAAAAAGTGGCAGTGGCAGATTTATCTCACTGTACTGTGTCTTTGCTCAGGTCCAAAGGATCCTCCAGACAAGTCAACAAAAGGAGGGTTTGGAGCTCAGCGCGCTGCTTACCAATCCCCATCTCCAGGTCAGAGATCAGCAACCCTTTCTTGACATATAATACGATTAAAAGGCAACATAAGTGTGTCTCGCTCGTCTGCAGAGCCTCGTAGGCCAGCTCATTTATTTACTTAATATTCTAGTAATTAGACTGCTGGAAATATAATTAATGTTATACATGGCTGTCTCCAAAAGGGTAATTGTTTCTCCTGCACCTTCCACTGGGAAGGCAGAGGTCAGGGTTTCGCAATTTAACGTCTTGATGCCTGAAAGGCAGCTGTGAAGTTTTAAATGTCCTCTCCCTTCTTGTTCTTGACAAGTTCAGTGATGAGGTAATACTGCTTATCATCGTTTGGATGAAATTCATTCATGTGATCCAGAACATTTAAAGATATGGGATAATTATTTTGTATATTTGATTTGTACTGTTTGATTTCTTTTGTCACTCATAAATTATTTTGCTTGAGAGTTGATTGTAGTTAGTTTTAGAAAAGGCAAGTTCTGCAAAAGATGTTTTGCTAAGTTTTTCCTACTACTAAACGAAAATGCAACCTTTTTTTTTTTTTTTATCTTTGCAAAACCGTATCCATCCCCCAGATGTAGCTTTTCAAGAAAGGGGTGTTTTTTTGATAATAATTTAAATTGTTTGTTATTCTTTAAGTATGTGTTCCATGTTATAGTATTATATTTTGAATTGCAATACTATGATAACCAGATTTATGGCAATATTTTGTAGCTGTTTATAAAGTATCTGTGTCCTACTTCCTCATCTTCACTTGAGAGAAGCGCCCAGGTGTGTGCAGTTTGCATTGTTATAGCTTATCTGCATGAGGACTGGATTTACTTCTTTTTACCTACTCGTCAGGACGTGCCTGAAGTTGAACATTAAGAGCTTTAACTTTGCTGCAATCTGTTTAGTAAAGAATCCACAGTGAAATGTCTCATTTTGTTATTTGCAAAACTATGGAGAAATAAATTTCTACTCTTGATGCAACTTGCTGCATTAGTGCAATTAAACGTTTGGCATTGATCACAGAGTTGCCACACATTTTTTTTCTTTTTGGACTTCCCTTGTAATTTTGTTAATTTCAAATAGTATTTGACGTTTTGTAGTGGATTCGCAGCAGAATAAGCTTCAAAACTATACACAAAACATGAAAACTGCATATTTCTCTGCACCTTCTATGGGTTTCTAGGCAGTAACTAATAAACCAAAATGTAATCCATAGATGTTATTTATATAAAGTTATATTATATAGATATTGCTTACTACCTTTTGAAATTGAGATATTGAGCTCATTTTGCCATAACAGTTTCATTATTCTATAGCTTTAACTTAACCAGGTCGTGATAACAATATCAAAAAAAATTATTTTTGTCATTATTTCAAACTAAACTGAGCTAGAGATTGTTTGTTGTGCTGATAGTTATGCTGCCTCATTACATTAAGACAATAAAATCTAAAATTTATGTTGTGACAGCAGTTTGATCACATCTATGTAGCAAGATGACTTAATCTTGTTGATTGTATTTCTCATTTCAGTATGTGAGCTATATAACAATATATATTTTTACAATTTTTGTGGCACTATTTTCTTTTATTCGCTGTAATCAGACAAGAAATGTGCAGAGAGAAATCCGTATTATTGAGCCCGAATGACCAGTTGTCTCAAAGTTATGATATCTCAAGCACATATTGTCAACATTGCAAAAACAAGATTGCAACTTTGAATTGTTTCATTGGTTTTATTATATTATTTAAAAATACAAATTTGAGCTCGTTTCTCAATAATAACCAATTCCTTGGCTTATTTTTGTCATGATAACATTTTCTTTTTATTTTGTTGGGTTGATTTTCCATCAGTTTATTATCTCAAACTAATAGAAGTATCCCATTGGGTCATTGTGAGGATAAAGGACAATAAAACTGGGTGATGCTCAAGAACTACTACATGATAACCTGGTTACCTAAAATGTCCTGTGTAGGAGAAATAAAGTACCATTTTAAAACAACCGTCATCCGTTAGACAGCCAGGTGAGGAAAGTCCGCAGGTTGTAATGTTTAGGCTCAGCCAGTGAAGCACCAGAGGACAGATATTTGACCCATGTGACCGTGTGAACTGCCAACCTCCCAGTGTCCCATAAACCTGTCCACTGAGTCAGAAACACACAGCCAGCAGGGCGCTCTGGTGAGGTGTGAAACCCTCTCATGGCGTTGAAATTAGAACGCATTATGTCAGTTTCTTCAGGAAGCAGAAAATTTCATGAACAACGTCACATCTAAAATAGTTAGATGTGACCATTTTAGATGTCGCATCTAAAATAGAAGGGGTAGTTCTCCACTACCCCTTCCACTTCTCTTCTTTCCTTTGGTTTCTAAACCTGAAGCACCTCGTTTTTAAGCATATGAAATCACCGGTGTTCACTGATGTGTGGTGTTGCCTTTTGACTCCTATGCTGAGGATGATTAAGACGGATTGTGCGTACGCCTAAACTTAGCCTGCATCTGCTCTCTCTGTGTCCCTCTGCTGCAAGACAAAGAAACTGCGTAATTTTCTGTGACGTGTATTAATTGTGCTGCACAAAAAAGTGTGTCACATTAAATAACCTAAAAGCGCAATCTCTGTCCCGATCTTGGCTTGGAGAGCTTTGTATAAAAAGGATGGCGAGGGTTGAGGTTGAATTGAATCACTCCTTTAAACTTCCTGCAGCTTGTGTGACGACTGCTTTTAAAGCTGGCTTCTGACTTTTCTTATATTTTAAAGGGAACCTTTCATTGTCTGTCTGTGTGTTCGTATGGCAGGCACTGATGCAAGCTCATGACAGCGTAGCGGTGCAGGAAATCGCAGAGGAAAGCGTGACCCAGTACCTCGGAGAGACAGTTAAATTAGTGCGGCTGCAGAAGGCCAGAGACACTCCACTGGTGAGACATGATGTGTTTGAGTTCCTGTTACTGTCTGGCTTTTGAGCTTTTATTTCCTTAGTGCCCTGTACTGTATCTGTCAAACGTTTGCTGTGCGTCCGTTCTGTTTTGAACGGAGTAATCAATTAGTGTCCTCTAACAGCAGTTTTGTGATCGGATGTGTTGCTGTCAGGGTGCAACAGTGCGTAATGACATGGACAACGTGGTGGTGAGCCGTGTAGTGAAAGGCGGCGCAGCAGAACGGAGCGGACTCCTCAGTGAGGGAGACGAGATCCTGGAGATCAACGGCATTCCTATTCGTGGAAAACACATCAACGAAGTGCACGACTTACTGGTAACCATTACTGTCAGACTGACGTCAAGTAACAAGCACTTTTCTCCTACTTCAGTCCATGGAATCATTAAAAGCACTCGCAAGTCAAGTCCAGTTTATTCATTTAGCACATTTCGGCAACAAGATGACTAAAGATAAACAAATGGATGAGTTTTCCTATATCTTTATAAGACACTAGACCTTTAATTCTGGAAATGTTCTTCAAGTGATGGAAGACTGACTTTGTAATTGTCTTTATGTGTCTTTGAAAGTTCAAGTCTGAGACCATCACTACACCCAGATCATTCACACATTACAATGCCATTTTTAACCCACCTAAAAAAAATACAACCACTAACCTCTCCATGACATCAACATGACAAATGTGAGACATTTTATGGGCGTGAATACTATAAAGTTGTGCATCACTCAATCATCTTTATGCTCTCAACAGCAAGAAATGCAGGGAACTCTGACCTTCCTCCTCATCCCGAGCTCTCACAATAAACCTGCTCCCCACAGACAAACTGTGGTAAGTCTATTAAGATGAGAGAGTGTGCGTGAGAACTGTCGCTGGCATGCAAACAAACACTAAACTTGTTGTTGTAAACCGTCTCCTCAGCTGCATGTGCGCGCTTACTTTGACTACGATCCCTCTGATGACCCCTTCGTGCCATGTCGGGAGCTGGGTCTGTCCTTCCAGAAAGGAGATATACTCCATGTCATTAGCCAGGATGACCCCAACTGGTGGCAGGCCTACAGGGATGGAGACGAGGACAACCAGCCTCTGGCTGGCCTCATCCCTGGTAATCTCTCTGTGGCATTCTTCATAAGAAATAATAATTAAAAAAAAAACGACAACAGAAATAAACATGTTTTTTTTTTTTAGTTAACAAGGTCATATTCATTGTTTAGTATTTCAATAATAACAAATTTAAATTCTCAGGATTGAATAATTCCATGATATTGGTGAAAAAGTATTAGTTCCACTGGAAGTTTATGTATAGCAAGATATTTTTCCCAAGTTACAAGTTCTATAATCTGACAGTGGAACTAGAACGTTATGAATATTGAGAAATTATTTACTTAAAAAAAACAAAGTTATTTATAAGTTTTGTCTACCTTCAAGTGTACTAAGATATTTGCACTAGAAACTAGACCAAAAATACTTGGTACTTGGTGTAAAAAATAAAATAAAATTTCTTTTTTTTTTTTTTTTTTTTGCAATGGAGAGTGCTTGACAATCATGACAATCACCTGGCAGTGCGAGTGCTGCTTTGACCTTGATCCTCCGACCAGATGATGAAACGGTTGTATGGAATTATGACAAGTTAGCTTGACGCTAGTGCCAAAGTAAAAAGAGGAATAACATCACATCTAACTCTCGCGTAGTAAACTAGGGTACCGATAAAAGCTCTTTTGGATGCTAGTAGGCTGTACATTTCCGCATGTCTTCATATTTATCCTCCTGCTCGTGTAAATATGCTAATAAAGCTCAGAGGGAAAAACAGAGATTGTTTAAGAGAGTGTGTTTAGCAGGGAGAAATACATGAAACATGATTAGCTTTTATTAGATCAGTGTCGCACAGGTGGTTTGCTGTGAACCTAATAGGATAGTGGAGATCTCTCTGTCTGTAGGCGTGTAAAGACAAGATGTTAACTTAGGGCACCTTTAGCAACACAGGATAATGTGTTCAGTGAAAAACTGGTCTTTGCCTTTTTGTCAGGGAACCATGTTGGTTAGTTTGTAAAGTACTGGTACAAATTACTGGAGTAAACTTGCCTTTTAAAAGTTGTGCTTAAGTGGGCGATTTCTAAAGTACCACAATTGAAATAAAATAGATATAATGTCTACAAATACATTCTAATAGCTCAATACATGAGCTGCAAATGACAGATTGTTTTAGAGTATTGGTTATTCACTCCAAATGAGAGACAAATGGTTAACCTGGCTCTTCTTTCCTGGAAAGATTTGTCTACCATCTGTCGCATCCAGCAGATTAAAACAAACACCTAGGAATTAATTGTAATTGCACTCTGACCCAGACACTGTTGGGGGTCTAAGTAAACAAAGTTCAGTGCTAAAAATGGAAAGTTCACCATCTTTTGTTTTCGTTTCTTTACTTGGACGTTCAGAAAGTACAAACCGGAGCCTTCCAAACAACTTGTAATGTTAGCTTGTTCACTTTCAGTGCAGTGTTTTCCAAAGTTATTCATACCCCTTCAGTTTTTCACATTACAGTCACAAACTTTTATTGGGATTTTATGTACTAGACTAGAATAAACTTTGTGCGTAATTGTGAAGGGAAAGAGGAATGTTCATTGTTCAAAATATAAAACATGGCACTGTTTGTTGCTGCGCCTAGCAATTATTTTAGTATTCAATTATTATATCAATTAATATGATTTTTTTTTAATTGGTTGCAAATTTCTGAAGATTTTTCTTCAGATTTTTCTTTGACCATGTTACCATTAGAAATGTGTTAAAACAAATAATTCAATTGCTTTTTAAAATAAGAAAATACACATTTTAATGCCTAAAATGCAATAAAGTAACATTCCTTTAGTGAATTTGAACCAGGTGAAGCTAAAACTAAAACACTTGAGGCTAAAACACTTGAGGAGCTTTGGGTGGAAAATTTAAAAACAATATGACTGTAGTAAACATAGTGGTGTCAGCATCATGATGTGGGGTTGTTTATCTTCAGCAGAAATGTGGAAGCTGATAGGAAGATGGGCAATCCTATTAGAAACTCTGTTAGAGGGTGCAATAAGCTTGGGACTGGGCAACACTTCACTATCAACAACATTAAATGGGCTAGAATGGACCAGTCAAAGTTTACAGATTTACAGGACTTGATTAATGCTCAATGTATGTCCAGTTTGAGGGTAATTTTTTCTAGCAGAAGCTTCACTTTCCAGACAGTTAAAGCTGGTAGTGATATGTTTTACATTTTTGGCAAAAGAAAAAAAAGAGAAAAAAAGGAAAACGTAAACCTTTCTCCTTCCATGTCACAATTATGCAAAGCTCTGTGTTGGTTTACGAAATAAAACAAAAACAATGAAGGTTTGTAGCCTTTGCGAGGATGTGGGAAAAATTCAAGATGTATGAATAACTTTTCCAAATTCACTGGATATTTAGTTTCTGTGGATTTCTTTCTTGTCTTACTTCAGGTAAAAGTTTCCAGCAACAGAGAGAGAGTTTAAAGAAAACGACGCCAGACAAAAGTCGAGAGCAGCAAGGTAACAACTGCAAACGTAAACATTTCCAGCAATCCAACAATGTGAAACGAAAATGTGCGTTCTTATCCGCGTTAGGGAAGATTTGGTGTTCAAAGAAAAGCAAGAAACTGAGAAGAAGGAACACATCGACCTTGACCAGAAACACTGGTAAGACGTCCTTCATTTCTTTCAGCGGTTTGAGGCGTGAGCTCGCTTGGGACCGAGCGCTGTCTGCACATTTAGCTCACTATCAGTCCTCATTAAGCGCATATAAAAAAGGGTTTCAGCTCTGGGCAGCAGCCAAACATCCACCGCTTTTAGCATTACGCCCACACATAAGCTGAAGTTGACACACCTCGTCTTTCTTACAGCAGCTTGTCCAGACTTGTCGTGTCACAAGTCAGATTAGACTTGCCTTCACAGACCGGATCAGCGGGAGCTTAAATGCCTTCGAGAGACGTGCAGTTTTAGGGTTCACACACACACCTGAAGTTGCTCATCTTTAAATAGAACACTTTCATTGAATAACAATATTGTAAACAATGTGATCTTTTTTCTTTTTCTTTTTTGTTTACCTTTACTCTGTTGTGTTTTTCCCGCCATCAGCAAAGAGGGTCAAGGTTGAAAGTAGCTGCAGAGCAGAGGGGGGTTAGAAGGTGCATGTTGGGTCAGTGGTGCTTCTGTAAGCCTTCCTGAAATGTCTCCCCAGACTACGATGATGTCCTGACCTATGAGGAAATGTCCCTGTACCACCAGCCCGCTAATCGGAAACGCCCCGTAGCTCTGGTCGGCCCGGCCAACAGCGGCCACGACGAGCTGCGGCGGAGACTTTTGTCCCTCGAGCCGGACAAATTTGCCGTTGCTGTTCCACGTAAGTCCACGCTCAGACGGACAGTTTTCTCTGATTTCAGAGGATAAACGTAACGCACAAGCAAGAAAAAAAACTAAACAAAAACAAGATTTAGTGTTGAAGCTTATTGTGTTCCTATAAAGTTTGGAAAACGTCTGGAATGCATGGGATTAGATTTCAGTATTTTCCAGGTCTGGATAAGTATGAAGAAAAAGAAGAAAATACGTCTTTACTACCTATTCCCTTTCTGGGTTTTGTTTCCGCTCATCCTCCTTGCTTCTTTCCTTCCTTCACTCTTTCTATCTCCTTTCTTTCTTTGTATCCTTCTTAATTCTTTTCTTAGGACAGAGATCTGAAAAGCTGAGCCTGGAAAAGTCTGGAACCACTTTTAATTTTGACACATCTCTCACTTTTTAACTCTTAGACACAACCAGAAGCCCAAGGATACATGAGCGTAATGGACGCGAGTACCACTTTGTCAGTCGCTCCTCCTTCGAGGCCGATTTGGCGGCAGGGAAGTTCATCGAATCAGGGGAGTACGAGAAGAACCTGTACGGCACCAGCACCGACTCCGTCCGACACGTCGTCAACTCCGGACGCATCTGTCTGCTCTGCCTTCACACAAGGGTGAATGTTTGTTTCTAATGTAGCAATCACTGTTGCGTGTCACGATAGCTTCATACATTTCAAATCTGTGTGTTTTAGTAAGATCTAATCTAATATTCTCTGCCTTAATTTTCCCTCCCAGTCTTTGCGAGTGCTGAGGTCGTCCAACCTCAAGCCATACGTCGTCTTCATTGCTCCTCCTTCTCAAGAGCGACTACGCACCCTGCTGGCCACAGAGGGGAAAACACTAAAAGTAAGCTGACCTTCACACACTTATGCCTGGTTGCCTCTGGAGGCCATTATCAGAGCAGAAAAAGTGAAAATCTCATGCACACTTTCAACGTTCGTGCCAGTCGTTTGAAGTGTCACTTCTGACATCTTTTCCCAGCCGGAGGAGTTGAAGGAGGTCACTGAAAAAGCCCGCGAGATGGAGATGAATTACAGCCACTTCTTCGACGCGACCGTCGTAAACTTTGATCCAGACCAGGCGTTCCAGGAGCTCCGGAGATTAGTGGACAAACTGGACACCGAGCCGCAGTGGGTGCCGTCGTCTTGGCTCTGCTAAGACGACGAGTCTCAGACACGACGAGTCTCAGGGAACGAGAAGGTAAAGAGGAGACGGACAGTATTACAGTGACACTGAATTTTCACTTGCACATTTTTTTTTTCCATTTTTGGAGCTTAATTGTTACGGGATGCTGCAGAGACAAGACACTGTTCTATTTGATGTTTGTCTTTTGTAGATTGTTTTCTTCTATTTTTCTGATGGCTGTTCAAGGTCTTAGTTTTATGCAAAATCTTTTGTTTTCCAGATAGATTCATTTCTATGCTATTTCTTTGACTTATTTATAATTGTAAATATATATTCTTTAGACAGAGAGATGAAATATTTTACTGTTACGCCAGGAATTGCACATTTGACACGTTTTTAAAGGCATTCTGGTGAAACATCGAGCCAAAACATCATCAGGCAAAGAACTGAGTAGAAACAGATTCATTGGATTTAGTGTGAAGTCTCCCACCTGCTGTTGATGTATCAGTATTGTGTCTCACATGCCTTACAAAGGTACTTATACTTCTTGAGCTTTTTATCATCTTGTCACATTTCACGTTAAATGTCAAGTAACTTCCTTGGATTTCATGCCGCAGATTCTCAATTGTATTTGGGTCTGCATACGTTAAATTAAAGTAAGGCTGCAACTAACAGTTATTTTAGTAATTGATTATTCTATCGATTATGCTGACGATAAATCTAATAAAAAAATTGGCATATTCTGCTGATTTTCCTTGTAACCACTTAAACCTTTTAATGCAATATTAGACATTTTACTGCAAAAACCCCTAAGATTTCAACTAATTTTTAGAATAAGAAAATAAACATTTTATTGCCTAAAATGCAGCATTCCTTCAGAGAATGTGAACCGGGTGAAACTAAGACTATGCCATTCAAAGAGTTCTGGATAAATCAGACAAAGATTTTTTTTATCTTCATTGCAAAATCTATATTTCTTTTATATAATTTTGGCTTAATTACTGCTCTCTTTTTTCCAGTTAATAGCATTTTTTTAAGTTTGTATATTAATTAAACAAGTAATCAATTACTAAATTAGTTGACTATTATTTCGGTAAACGATTCATCACAATTATTCCGATTAATGGGTTCATCCCTAATCAAACATTCTGTGGTATCTTTGACTGCATGTTTAAAGCTTTTTTTTTCCGTCTTGGAAGGTGAACCTGCTCCTCAGCCTGTACCAGGTTGTCCTTCGGGACCGAGTTCTATTTAGCGGCTGGTCCAGCTAAATAAAATCACTCCCACATCATAATGCTGCCGCACTCATGCTTACCATAACAACAGTGTGTGGTGTTAGTTTTCTACCAGACGCAGCAATTTCTCTGTAGCCCAAAAACTTCTGTTTTGATCTGAGCTGACCAGAGAAAAGTCGTCTCAATCCTAAAGGGAACGCTTTAAAACAAGAGTTCCCCTTGTGATGCATAAGATCTCAGTGAGATACATTGATGTGTGTGGTAACGTGACAAAATATAAAGTTGAATTAGTATAAATGCATTTGCATGGCACCATATACTTTTAATAGTGCCCAACTGCATTATCTGTGTAATGCTGCGTATTATTGTTGAGATGCTCTTCATCAGTATTGTACAATCGTGACTTAATATTATTGAATCTTTAAAAAAAATGGAGTAATTCTTAAGCACAACTTTTTAAAAGTGTTAATAAATTAAGATTTGAAAAGATATTTTGTTGTATTTTTTATTCTTCTAAGCGAAATGTGCAGAACTCAGAGCACCGTTGGACTGTTTACAACATCTTTAATTATATGAAGTGCCTGGCTTTGTTGACTCGCGCAGACACACACACGCACATTTTACAGTGTTACATTACAGAGAATCCGTTGTGTGATGATAAACACCCTGACGTGAGGTCAGGAGCTCAACACAGAGTCTGACACTCTGAAACCTTCAACCACCACAAGACTTACGGCATGCAGCGGTTCAAAACATATCTACAGCTGATCCAGTCCAGTTGCTTCTTGCCTGATGTAAACATACTTAATGATATTTGCTTCGGTTGTTGGACTCTCTGGTGGATAAGGATTTTTTTTTTTAGGAGGAGGACGAGGAGGAGGCGGGGCAACACTAGGGCTCCTGTACAGAGACACGCTTGGAAAATTCTCATATTTTCCAACACAAAAACAGCGGAACATATAATCACAGATGTGAACACACACACAAAAAAAAAAAAAATACTTTCATCACTTGTCTGAGAAGACATAAACACAGCCAGAGAGGCACAGAATAAATAGCATGATGATGAGTGTCGGACTGCAGGGCGGAGTGGGAGGATGGGGGATTCACTCGAACAGCAGGTCCTCGTCTGTCTCCTCCATCAGCATGTTGGCGGGCTCGACGATGGGTCCGAGGGCGGCCAGCCGGGCGGCGATCTCCAGCTCCGTCTTTTCCCTCAGCTGCTTCTTCTTCTCTTGGATTTTCTTCAGCCTGTCGGGTAATTAGAATCAGGTGCAGGTTGGTAGGAAGCTGGGGGGACAAATCTTATAGAAAAAGGGAAATACCTGGCAACACAACCACCACAAACGTTAATGTATTCATCTGATAGACTAACAAAGGAGTGCATAACTGTGAACTGAAAGAAAGGGATACATGGTTTTCAAAATAAAATATTTGGTGAGAATATGGGGTAAAAAATTTAGTAGACTTGCTTCATAACACTGGCAGCTATGAAATGTAGACAAAGTATGAATGCAAATCCACGGCATACTTTTCAGGTTTTTATTTTTAATGCTTTTGGAAACCATGTATCGTTTGGCTTCCACTTAATGATCCACTACTTTGTGTTATTTTATTACATAAAGTCTCAATAAAACATGTTCATGTTTGTGGTTCCAACATAATGATATCTGAAGGCTTCAAGAGACGTGAACAGTTTGCGTGCCTCAGGTCTGACCAAACTGATTTTCCACTTCTGAAATGCTTTAATGAATATTTAAAAACATGACATGGTCTCACCTGTAGAACTCCTCTCTTTCTCGCTCATCCAGCTCTGTGATGATGTAAGTGAGAGTGCGGTCGATCCTCGGAATGATCACTGCAGAGTGGGAAGTAAAGTCACACAAAGCAAATAAATAATCTAATATTCTTCTAACGTCCCTGATGCGAACATTGGGTTTGAGCTTACCATGCTCGATAGCATTCACACGGCGGTTGGTGATCTTTATGGCTTCATCCAGGGTCACAAACGATGTCTGCAAACACAAATATCAACATGTGTCTTTGTTTTCTTAAAATGCAGCTGGAATTTTACAATTACAGAAATGGGGGTGGGGGGGAGGAAACCGAGGCAATATGATTCTATATTTGCAACAGTGCCCTCTACCTGTAAGGATGCTAACTCCACCAGCAGCTCCACCGCTCTGGCGTAGTTCCTCTTCAGCCTGGACAGCTGCTCTCCTCCCCTGGCCAGACCGGTGAGTTCATAACCTGACAGAGACACACAGGAAGGATCGGCGTCCGAAAGCTGATCGTGACAAACCCGAACTGACAAACCGGACTCCACTTACTGTCTCCGCCTTCTTGGTAGTGTTCAAAAACAGGGAGGGTGACACCTGGAAGGATTGAAATCGGAATGGATGAGTGTGTCCCCGCTCACAGCGGCGATTTTAATGAAACATTCCTGAAGCTGACCTGCCACGTTGTCCTTTTTGGCTCGCACCTTCACCTGGGCTTTGTTGACGTTCTGGATGACGGTTGTGCTGCGAACAGGCGACACTTTCTCAACACATCTGCTCCGAACTGAGCACAACCGTGAAATCTCATCGCAATCCTTACCTGAAGTCTCCAGCTGTAAATTTGGCCTCCGCCAAAGAGAAAGCCGCCTCTCTCATCACCTCTCCCATCTTGGTTTTGGTCTAAAGGAAGCGACAAAAAGAATTTTAGGAACTGGAGGCTCTTCACCCGAAAGAAGCAGAAATACCGGAATCCAAGACTCGACCCACTTCGATAATTTTGCGGAGGATCTGACGGAAGCGCATGGAGAGGGCGTCGGATTTCTTCTTGAGCAGGCTGCGGCCGGTCTGCGCTCCTTTCAGCCGGGCCTTCATGATGGTCTGAGCCCTGCACACACCACGACAACACACACCTATAATGATGGACTGGCTGACGTATAGCTCAATTAAGCAACTACAGCTGCTGAAGAGGAATGGTTTCCTTGTCGAATTTATACCAGACTGATGCCATGTTGAATCTAGCTCAATCACTTCCTATTTTGAGTCATTTCATAATTTTTCCCCACAGATTTCTAACAACATTTTGATGGAAAACTCGGATGAGAACAGAAAGTTTAGTTTGGATTTTAAGTAGTTTTTGCAGTCTCATCCTTCTGGGTTTTCTGTACTTGTTTGAAGTCTAAATAAAAATGTATTTTAGTGTGAATCCATACAACCTGGAACGTAGTTTCCAGAAAGTCTTCTGAGATATTAACATTGTTGAAGCTTTGTATAGCCCTTCAGATGTCGCAATAAACCATTCAACCATGTGCTATGATAAATTAAAATGAGCTCGATCATTTCTAAAGATTAATCTTTTGTTGAAGGGCAATTTTGTATCGAGACACCATAATCAATTTCATTTATGGTTGTGGTTATGAGTACCCCCCCCCCTGCTTTATTTATGGTTTATGCGTTTGATTTTGGATATTTAAAATGTCTTCCAGTTCCAGTGTTAAGTTTTCTTTGCAAAATTAAAGTTTATTGGTCTCTGAGAGGGCAAATGAGCAGAATTCTGCCTTTATATATATTACTCGAAAATTGTCTCAAAAATAACAACACTATGGTTTATCGTAATGATTAATTTATCGTCCAGCAAAATTTGCTAACATGACGGGCCTTGTAGCACTTCTTAAAACACACCTAAACATTTAAGTTATTACATATATTTGCCTTCTTTTCTGAGGGAGGGTAAGATTAAACAGTCCAAATATGAACAGAGATTAGTGGTCCATATCTACAGACAACATTAATTAAACATGGACTCCTACGGGTCTTAGAAGAAAGTCTGACGATCATCCATCCAAGAATTGAGATACGTCTTCCAGCGGTTTTAAGATTTGCTCTTTTTTTCTTGAAATCTTACGAAGCTCTTTGGAGAGAACACCAACACTCCCATGCTGAATCAAATGTGCCAATTTAAACTTTAAATTTATCCTCAGTATTACAATGTCTTGCTAAAGTATTTGTGTCTTAACCTTGTCCACATTTGTCACATCACAGTAACAGCCTTCAGTGTATTTTATGCATAATTGTGGAGATGAAAGGAAAAGGTGGGTCTCACTTTTTTCTCTCTTTTTACACATGAAAATCCAAAGCGTCATACTTATTTATTTATTTAAGATAACTCTGGAGTAGGTGCACAACTCCACAGCTCAGCACCAGAGTCGGGGTGAAATAAAAATATGGAACAGAAAGACAGTTATGTGCTGATCTGTGTTGGTCTTTCACATAAAATACATTGACGTCTGAAGCCGCAGGGCGACACCGCAGTCCAGATGGAAATCTCAGATGGACACTTCACACTTAGACGTCATGTTAGAAACATCACATGACCACAGAAGGACTCTTCCTCTTTCAAACAGCAATCTGGCTCGTATATAAACTATGACTGCATTTGAGTCACAGTGCCAAAACAAAATGTCCTCCCGTTTTGGGAGAAACGTGCATTTAATCACCGATCTCGGTTGAGCAGAAGCAAAAACAAAGAATGAAATTATTTAGTTTATGTTATAATGACTAGCTACGAGACGGAGAGCTTACATTCTGGAGGGGAATATGTCGATCCTTTCCTTTCCAGACATCTTCTCGTCTTTTAGTCGACTACGGCTGTCTTCTGTTTACTTCCTCGGTTTGAACTCGATCCCGTCGAGATACTTTTAGTATCTATTTACAATTCTACTAGTAAATTACGACAAAAACGCATTCATGTAAGAATAAGTGCACAAACGAAGCTAATGGTCGTGATCTTGTCCGTCCGTGATGATCAGCTGGCCTCTGGTCATGTGACTACACCACAACTCGCTCTGCACATGCGCGCGTCGTGAAGCTCCACGAATCCTTTCCGGGTCGCAAGAAGCTAAGCACATCCATGTACGTGAGCTAGCGGGCCCGATTTATCATCTTAAGAACATAAGAAGTCGTCTTCAGCGGCACATTTGAACGCGTCCAGCGCAGAAATTCCCAGTTTATCGTCGTGTAACCACATGACACAGGTGAGTTTCTATTGATGGCTAAGATGTTCGGAGCCGTTCGGAGACGTGTGCTGCTAACAGCTAGCAGCGGCAGGAGGCGCATGTGATTTGGAAACCGGGTTGTTAGCATCGCCGCTAACAGATGTTAAAGTAGCCGTTTTTTTCCACTTTAGTGAGCCACCAGTGTTCTTTTCCCACTTTTTAATCACAAAATCTGCTTGAGTGAACTCTCCCCGGGATTGATAGAATCGTTTTGAAATGCTATTTTTCGTCTCAGTAAATGTTCATGTCAGTTTCTTTAAAAAAAAAAAAATTTGCCAGCGTTGCATCATCCCATTCAAACACAAAACTACGTGTAAAATAAAATACTGGAGCTTGAGCATCAAAGTAGTCAATTATTCCGATTACTGTCTTTACATGTGAACGCATCACTAAACGGTTGAGAGATGAGGGATATTTTTCTCTGTTAGATTGTAGAGATGACTGTTTTCTGTAGCCACAAATATTGGTTCCACACTTCCTCCATACGCCCCCCCCCTGAATTTTGGAGCATATTTTATAGTATTTCTTATTGTAGGGTCAAATACACACTTCTTTTTCTTGTTTAATGCAAATCTACTAATATATGTGGCTTTTTGCTGTGTCACACTAGAAAACATCTTTCTGTAAGGTATTGGTTACTCCACTTATTTTTATAGCTCAAATGAAGCAGTAATTAAGTCAACAACTTAACTTATGTCCAGGTAACCTAATTGAAAATAAATGGTAAATTGTAGGACTAAACTAGAATTTTAAGCCAATGAATAAAGGTGTGTTCTGTTTCAAAGATGTCTCCACTAACGCGGCTTTTAAAGGTGCAAAAGTTTTGACCAGTCTGGTGGCGCAACCAAGAAACATATAAACAGTTTAAACTGGATGCTGAAATCAGCAAGATCCCTGCACAAGTTTGATTATATCTTTAAGCTAATTTAATCCCCATACCTGCTTGTAGACCTCTGCGACCTTACTGTGAGGCCTTAAGGGGATTATAACGGTTTCTTGAGGTAGATTTGAAGGAAATAAGTCTTTTGACACAGTTAACTTTTAAATATCAAGAAGATGGAGCCTAAGTTGTCTTTTCCTGTTTTTTTCTAAGCAACTGCTCAGCTCAGATAAGAATTACTGCCGCCTTTAACTCCTTTGTGCTTCCATTTAGATAAACTGCCTGCTGTTTTTTTTTTTTTTTTTTTTTTCGTTTGTAACCTAATTGTAAGCATTTCTTCCGTTTGTTTCCTCGCAGCGATGCCGGGTCTAAGCTGTAGGTTTTACCAGCACCGGTTCCCAGAGGTGGAGGACGTCGTCATGGTGAACGTGCGGTCAATCGCCGAGATGGGGGCCTACGTCAGCCTCCTGGAGTACAACAACATCGAGGGCATGATCCTCCTGAGCGAGTTGTCGCGGCGACGTATCCGCTCCATCAACAAGCTCATCCGCATCGGCCGCAACGAGTGTGTCGTCGTGATCCGAGTCGACAAAGAGAAAGGTGAGAAGTGAAAATGAACAGCATTTTAAATCTACAAATAATCACGTGGATGCTAATCGTACGCACATCTGACCTTTGACATCATCAACTGCCCATTTAATTAATCCTATTAATTTTGGTTGTTTGCCTTTAAGCCTGCAGGTTGAAATTTATCTCGGTTTAGATCAGTCGTCCATTCACATCCTGCTGTTGGTCTGTTAACAGGAACTAGAGAACAGGAAATGTAAAACTCCAGCTCTGGCTTCACTAAACTGAATGTTGTTTATGTATTTACTTTTCAACTATTGCTACTGGTTTCTACAGTTTATGCACACTAATAAATCACTTCAAAGTTTTAGCAGATTTGCTCTATGAAAATGAAGTTTCTCTGTCAGAATGACCATGTCAACTTCCCCCCTCCAGGATACATCGACTTATCAAAAAGAAGAGTTTCACCAGAGGAGGCCATCAAGTGCGAAGATAAATTTACCAAATCTAAAACTGTGAGTTGTATAATTTATCCTCGTTTTCCTGCTTTAAATTGTTTCTTCACTTGTATGAGGAGGAGGAGGAGTAAGGAGTCGGCTGACGCTTTGCACTGCGCCGATTCCTGCAGGTTTACAGCATCCTGCGGCACGTGGCGGAGGTTCTGGAGTACACCAAGGACGAGCAGCTAGAAAGCTTGTACCAGCGCACCGCCTGGGTCTTCGACGAGAAATACAAGCGGCCAGGATACGGTGCTTACGACGTCTTCAAACAGGCCGTGTCGTGAGTCCCATGCAAGATTCCACCCAGAGTCTGAATTCGATCAGCTTCCTGTTGGTTTTCGTTTATAACTGCAAATGCTCCATTTTGACAGAGATCCCACCATCCTGGACGGTTTGGATTTAACGGAGGAGGAGCGCAGCGTGCTGATCGACAACATCAACAGGCGGCTAACGCCGCAGGCTGTCAAAATCAGAGCAGGTTTGTTATTTCTCGGATGAATCGCGCAGGACGAAGACGAACGGATGATCAGTTTGTTTTCCTCTGCAGATATTGAGGTTGCATGCTACGGCTACGAGGGCATCGATGCAGTGAAAGAAGCTCTGAGGGCCGGACTCGCCTGCTCCACAGAGGTCATGCCCATCAAGGTGATGCCTCCACCTCCTCCATCTTGTCTGTTATTAATGTTTAATTACCGCCACCGTGGCTGACTGTGGTTTCTGTTTGGTTTAGATCAACCTGATCGCCCCCCCTCGATACGTGATGACCACGACCACCCTGGAGCGGACAGAAGGCCTGTCTGTCCTCAACCAGGCCATGGCTGCGATCAAGGAGAAGATAGAAGAGAAGAGAGGCGTCTTTAACATCCAGATGGAGGTGAGGAATTCCCGCTGCGTTTAGGAACCAAACATTTATCAAAGTTTCCACAATGTTCTCTTTAAGTTGCTGCAGTTTGGAGGCAAAAATGCTACCTTTGATTTTTCTCTAAAGCAGATAATTCACCCTTGTAAAGAAACGTGATCAAAACAGCAGATTGTAGGAAATCCAAGATGAATTTACATACATTTGGTAGAGACATCCGCCAAGTCTTTTAGCGGATATCTGTACCCAGTTTAAACACCTTGAGACTAAATTATACATTTTTGTTGCGAATGAAGCTCAACCTGAGTTAGCTTTGATGGAGAGCATCTATAGAACATCAACAAAAAAATCTGTATTTTCTCTTCTTTCTTATGCACTTCTTGTTACTGTGCACTATTTTATTTTATATTTGTATCATGTTCGAATAAAATTTCATAAATTTCAAATTTCAATTTCTATTCTGGCAACAGTTTCTTGGGCTTTGACTAGGCCATTCTAGCACATGAATAGCTTGGATCTAAACCATTTCATTGTTTCTAGCGTTGTGACTTTTGTCCTGCTGGAAGATAAATCTCTGTTCCAAGTAGTTTTTGGAGACTCAAAATGGTTTTCTCTTTGAATTGCCTTGTAATTGGCTCCATTTTTTTCCCCACCATAAAGCTTGACAATCTTTGGTTTTGCTACTGAAAAAACATTTTTTCCCTCAGCAAAGGTTTACATGTAGGGCATAAAGTTCAGTTGATAAGATCATCTAGTTCCACGTTTGCTGTGTCCCCCCCTACCCAGCTTAAACTAGAAAAAATGATCTTTTAAGGCTTTTTTTTCTCGCCTCACTTTACAGAAGTAAGGCGAAAACATGATTAACTCTTGTCCTTGACAACCAATCCTGCATAGTTACCATGGGCCTCTTGACTGCTTCTCTGATTAATGATCTACTGGCTGGCTTTGTCAGTCTCCTGTGCTCTTTGTGTTTTCTAATAAATCTCTGATTCCTTCTGAGGCATCAGCAGAAAGGGTGATGAATATAAATGCACACCGCACTTACCAGATCTTTATTTTTGTAAAATCCCTTTCTTTCAACTTCCCAATAACATGTTACTTTGCCTTGGTCCATTACACTAAGTAATAAATAAAAATACTAGAGGTTTGTGGACCTGTAAGGATCCCCTGATTGGACTAAATTATTAACTCCAATCATATGGGTTTTTATTGTCCATGACATCTGGACATTTCTAAAGAAGTGGCTGAGCAGATTGAATTTTATTGTTTTTTACAGACATGCTCTGCACAACTTTTGTATTGCTGCGAATTAAATTTGTTTGGTCCCATTAATAGTAGAAGTACCTGTGGGAAAAAAAAAATCAGGCTTTGTATAAATTTTTTTTCTGAACCAGACTGCCTTTTTCCTCCTATTTAATGTTGTTACATGTTCAAAAGTTTACATGATGTGCACTTAAATAAGACTTTATTATTTTTGTTCCCGACAGCCCAAGGTGGTGACCGACACGGATGAGACTGAGCTCGCCCGGCAGCTGGAGAGGTTAGAAAGGGAGAACGCTGAGGTGGACGGAGACGACGACGCTGAAGAGATGGAGGCCAAAACTGAGGACTAAAGAGACGAAGAATCAAAGAAGTTGTGGACAGGCCTGGTAGTCGGTTTCAACTTTTCAGGTTGCAAACATTTAAGTCATTTTCTTACTCGATTGGCAAAAGCAAAGGATCTTCTCAACCCACACGTGAACACAAGGATGGCTAAGCAAGTTTAACAGCAGGATAGTTTCAGTCTGAATAAACAGAAGCTGCTCAGTGGCCTTCACTTACCTTTTGCTTCAGAGCTCAGCCTCTTCAGTATCCATGGCTCCAAATCTCCGAGTGGTCAGTGAACGCGACTGATCGAAGGGACAGAAGAAGCTCATCTATCGACCGCATTCAGTTGTGATATTATCTTCCAGCTCCAAGGTGTTTTACCAGCAAGATCTGCTCTGTGTGTAGCTCACATGACATCAATAAAGTTCTGGAAATTTTCTTCTCAATGAGTCTTGTTCAGTGAAAAGCCCAATCTTGACAGGACTGCTTATTCTCAAATTTTTTGTATCTGTTTCTGTCAGGCAAAAGTTTGTCTTCTTTGATAAGGCTACCGCTAACATCTTTGCTAGCTGGCTAGCTTTTTGCGTCTGGTGGGTAAGAGTAAATATAGTGCCTATTGGCTAATGTGTCTTTAAAAAGCTTATGTCTTAATTAGATCTAAATGCTTTAATCAAGGAGACCAATCCCAAACAAACATTTGGATTAAATCATTTAAAACTAAACATACTTACAGCCTGTAATTACCGTAATTCGGGTGAAAATGAAAACTGCACATGCATTAAAAAAAAAAGTTTTAATCAAATGTTCACCATTACAAAAAAATAAATTTTCACAACTCCAAAAAGACATTTTTCCTGTTCTTAGCTCCATTTCTTATAGTGGTTGTGACATGTGCTTTTTCCTCAAGATTGTTGCCACCCATAATTCTGTCCTGCTGAGGTGGTTTGTTGAGAAAGACGGATCTAATTATCAGGAATGTGGTAAAACAGAAAAAGGCTCAAGTTGCATCAATCTCCAAATAAATACACCCCTGTAAAAAAAAAAAAAAAAAAAAAGTGCACTCTTTGAAGAACGCATACATCAAAGTCCAGGTATGCAAACAAGCCATTGTCCTCAACTTAAAATTGGAAAATTGTAGCTTAACTGCATGTGTGGAAGTAAAAGCACAGGACCAATGGAGACCGTGTAGGACTCGACTCTATGGAGTCTTTCATTACAGCCAAATGATTCTATATATACAGAAGCAACATGGACGTCAGCACCTGCACGGAGCCCGAGTGTGTTTTACAGGGAAAAACAAACATTTCTTGTCAATGTTGCAGTTTGTTCTGAATGACACGATTTCACAACACTTGTATAAACAGTTTGGGGAGGAAATATCTTCATTCAGTGGTTGTTTCTTACTTCACCAGTCCAATTTTCTTTGCTTCAGTTTCATAAATGAGCAACCGCCACATTTTCACGATGAAGACTTCAGCCTCTTCATCAAGCACCTGAGCAGGAGAGGAAAAAACATTAGTTTTAATGGTAAACTTTGATTAAACGTATCAACGTGAAGAGAATATTGCTCACCATGGCAACATCATCCAAGATGCTTTGGGGCATACTGTGAGCCATCACCTGAGAGCAGACACAAATATCAGTACATAGACATTTCCAGCACCAGACTCTGTAGTTAAAAACAATACAAATAAACTAAACTATTATACATAACCAATTATGATATTCATTGTAGTGGAATTCTACAGCAGCGACAAGGTAAACTAAAATATTATATTTTGAAAGGTTTCTCTTACACCCTATACAGTTGACTGATCTAAGAAAGTTACAAAAAATATATAAAAAATGTTCTCCCCAGGTTTTCTAGGATTTGGCAAATAGAAATAATTTTGGTGATTCCAATTAACCTAAAACAAGAAATGTTTGGTCTTGTTTAACTTCAGATTGTGATGGAAAAAAAAAAAATATTTTTAATTTAAATACCTGATTTCAACTACAAATAACTCTTTCCAAATGTTATATCACACTTTCCAAACATTGAAAGGTATTTTTCACTCGTACGAACCTTTTCGTATCACTTCAATTTTTCTCAAATATCATAGACATTTTCTATTTTTTTTTTTTTTTTACATTACCTTTGAGCACACAAAGTCCACTAATGTCGGCTCTTCCTCACCGATGTATTCAATGATTTTTTTATTGATCCACGGTCGAACACGTCGCTCCATTAACGTCTGCGAAACAAGATCACAACACAGGAACTGGATTAAGATGTGAACACACCATGCCATTTACCAAAGTAAAACAAAAGGTCATCGGAAGAAAAGAAAATGTAAAGAAAAGCTTTGTTACCGTGTCAACCATGGACCAGTCCAGAGGGTAGGAGAACAGTTCTGGTTTGGCTGTCGGTATCTTCTCTATCAGACTCTTGATGTGCTTGCGTTTCTCCTCGGTGTTTGCTCCTTTTATGCTGGACAGTCCGGCGCCGTCGACGCCCAGGCTCTTGTCGTCGTCGTAATCCAGGGGCACCAGCTTCCGCTTGCGTGGCTGTTCATCTGCCTCCTCATCGTCGAACTTGTTGAAGACGCTGTCCACTGGAAGCTTCTTCCTCTTGATGGCATTATGCTGGCTGGGGCTCCCAGTAGCACCTGGTGTGGACACAGGTTAATCACAGAGTCCCTCCAGCTGAAAACATCTGGTTCTGGTTACTGCGGAACAATCTGGAAATCTGTCACCATCTCATTTTTTTTTTTTTTCTGTTTAGAGGTTTATCTGAACAAATCAGCTATATGAACTTGAAATGTAAATTATTGATTGAGTTAATCTAAAGTTGATTGATCTTATCGACTGACTAACAACTGATAAGCAGCCATTTTCTTAAAAGCTTGAGTTTTTTAAGCATCTCACACCGGACTCTGTTTTGACTATTTTTCTATCTCGTTCTAGAATGGCCCCGCCATATTTGTTTCTGTATCAACTGGCTCCGCTTAAGGATGACCAGCCGCACCCTCTTCTGGATGGAGGCCAAACAACACATTAATTAATCGTTTTGAACTAATTTTAATCTTATAAACCATTAATTGACAACCGCAAGTCGATTAACTGTTTGTTGTTGCAGTAAGGTCATTAGTTTCCATTCATCAGTTGAGGCTTATTCACTCTAAAGCAAAAGAAACATGTTTTCCACTCACCCAGTTTTAGGCTGAGGCCAATCTTGGGCCGGTTCTCGTCCTGCGGCAGAGCGTCTGGCGGTGAGTTTTCGTGCGGGATGATGATGCCACACGGCGACTCCTCTCCGGGGGTGTTGGGAGACACATTGCCGCTCGCCGACGATACCGAAGGAGCGGCTGTGATGGGCCGCATCATGGGCTTCAGCTGTGGTTTTGCTTCAACGTTGTCTTCATCATTGTCATAATCTTCCTCCTCGCCTTCCTCTACCTCCTGGTCAGAGTGATGAGGATGCGGATGAGGATGAGGCTGTGCGCTGGGTTTAGCCTTTTCCGGCTCTTGTCTACGTTCCCTGTGGTCTCTGGACCCTCTGTGGCGTTCACGCTGCTCCTCGGGTTCGGGCTCTTGGATGATGGGGGGCTGCCTCAGACGCTCCTCCTCCTCTTCTTCCATCTAGACCAATCAGAAGCAGGTAAGAGGAAAGCCGCAACCAATGGCAGAATAAACAAGGAAAGCTCAATATGAAAGCTAATGTGCAGAGAGAGACTCTCGAGGAGAAAGTGACCTTCAACAACAGACAGCATGCCTCCTCACCACCGCTCCACAGAAACACAGTGAACCTGAGTTAAAGAGACAACGATACCCTGCGCAGCTCTGCGTCCGGGTCTGGATGTCCCTCGTCCAACAGCCTCTGTCTGATCTCCTCCAGCTCCTCCTTCTCTCTCTTCCTGTCACGCTCGTCCGCCTCCATCTCCTTCTCTCTGTCTCTGAGACGCTTCTGCAGCGCACTCCCCCTAGTGGTCGCAGTGAAAAACAGCAGCTCTCAGAACAATGACCACAGCTGCAGTATTGCATGATTGGTTGAGGTAGATCTGGGTCACACATGCTCAGATTTTCTACATGTTTTTCATGTTATAAAAACTGTTTTCAATCATGTTCCCTCATTTTAATAGACATGAAAAGAGCGAGAGAGAGATATTTCTGGGCCTTAAATTTGATACCACATTTCACAGAGAAGGAATGACAAAAGGAAGAATACCAAGGATGAAAGTGAGGAAGGAATGACAAGGAAGGTCAGAATAGAAAGAAGACAGGAAGAAAAACAAAACACAAAGTGAATAAGGACAAGAAGGACAAAAAAATTACAAGGAATTGAAGAAGCAAGGACAGAATCACACTAAGAACAATAAAATTTGGAACAAGGACGAAACTGATGAAGGAAAGACAAAAAGAGGTAAGAAGGAACAAAGAAAAGGCAGATAAAAGGAAAGAAGAGACAAGCAATGAATGAAAGAAAGACGATGAAGGGCAGATGGTGGAAAAATAAGAAAAACAAGGAATGCTGAAGGGAGAAAAAGACTTAAACTGAAGAAAGTACAAGTGAGGACAAACAGAAACAGAGGATGCTGAAGATAGATGTATCTCATGTCTTTTCCCCCACATACTTATCCAAACCAGGGTTAGGAAATAGGAGCCGTGCAGAATAATTAGGTGACAAGCTAAAGGTTCATCTATATTTGTTACCAGTTGGAAATTTTCAGGTCATTAACGTTAATATTTGTGCAATCATTTCTGTATAATCTCTCTTATGTTCAGACATCTGCAGCTTTGCTCTGATGTTCTCGCTCACCTGTAGTATTTGGGGTCATCTCTGTCATCATCGTAGTCTTCAAGAAACTCCTTCAGTCGTTTGCCTTCTTTTACCTAATTAGAAAAATGCAGAAACTATGATTTATGTACGCGTAATATACACATTTCCTGTAACAAGAGATGCATTTTTAAAGTTAGTGAATACTTTGTTGGATAATCAAGTGCTAATTGACTTCGCAAGTGAAAAAAGTCAGAATTTTAATCCTGAAAAATTAATTCAGAGTCGGAGAGTTCTGCACATGTTCACCCTGCTCTCACCATTTCTCGTCTGCGCTCATCTTCTCTTTCCGACTCCTTGGCATAATCCCGAGCCTTTTTCCGCTCCCTCAGCTCCCAGTTTTTCAGACGCTACAACAAACAATTAGGGTTAAATACAGACACAAGAAATTTGATATTTTAGAAAAAACTATAGGTAAAGACATTTCAATTTTACTAGGGGGAAAAAAACAAACTTTTTTGTAGTGGTC